TTAATGCTCCTCTGATGCTGCTTGGCCTGCTGTGTTCATCCAGCTCTACACCTTGTTACCTCAGATTCTCCAGCATCGGCAGTTCCTACTATCTCTGAAAGAGGAGTTTAGCTTATTTTTGTGTCATTTCTAACACTGCTTGCTTGCATTTCACTTGAAGTTATTGTTCCAAATCTAAAGTTGTTTAAAGATTTGGGGGCAGGGCTAGGCAGGCAAATCAAGGCCTCTGCTGCAGAGCACGTTAGATCAGTGAGTGGAATCACTCACGGAACTGGTTTCGGTAACTACCTGTCAGGAGAGTGATCTGAGTCCCAGCGGTATAAATAAGAGCGCTTAAGAGCTCTCGCAGGGGAGTGCTCTGGTGTGAAAGGGGAAGGAGTTGTCTTTTTCTCAGCCTCAAGGTGACTACGAGCTGAAAAGCTGTATGAGAGAAGTAAACTTTGAAAACATTTAATTGTAACATCACAGGGAAAACATTAGCATAACATAACAGTAACAAAATAGGCTGCCTTGGTCAATAAGGCCATGTGAGTATTTCTACTGTCCAGTCTTCAAAGTAAAGATTGGTCTCTAGTATAAATTAAGAATAATTAAAGCATAAGGAGCGAGGTAAGATTGCTGTTTTTTTAATAATCTCTACACTATGGGGAGTAAAGAGAAAGAGAGTGATTTAAAGGGAGCTCAGCCAGGAGGAATGCTCTTCCTGTGTAAAGTGGGAAGTCAGTGCCTGGGACCTGTCTCTAGCTGCAACTACTGGAAACCCGTGCTTTGGATTCAGAATAGCAGCTGGAGTCACTGCAGCGTATCTGCAAGGTTGAGATCTTTGTGGATAGCATGTACAACAAGGGTGGTAACACGACGGGTAAAGAGTCAGGGGCAGCAATGGAACAGGTGACCATCAGGTAGATAGTGTAGGAGTCCCCTGGGACCATCTTCCCCTTGAATAGCTTTATGTTGGGGAAAATTGCTGAGGAAGATGCTCTCTCAGGGAATGCAGTGAGGGACAATTCCATGGCACAAGCTGCATTGGGAGGGGAGAAAATAAAAGTGGGAGAACAATAGCATTCAGGAATTCTACAGACATGGCACCAGGATGGCCTCCCTGGTGCTGGGTTAATAGGTGTCTCTGAGCGGCTCTAAGCCATTCTGAAGGAGGAGGGAGAACAGTTTGAGCTCATGATCCAAGTCAGTACCAATGGCCAATGCTAAAAAGAAAAGTTGTGGTCCAGCAAGCAGAATGTAGGGAGCTAGGAAATAAATTAGAAAGCAGAACTTCAGAAGTAGCCATCTCAGGATTACTCCAAGTGCCATGAGCTGGTGATTTCAGGAATAGGATTTTAGAATCGACTGGTTGAATGTGTAGCTGGAGTGATCGATGAGGCTTCCCTGCAGCCTCTTCATACCTCACCCCACCATCCATCCAGCTATCACACAGCTACCTCTAATAACACACACCCATCTCACAGAGGTGAATGCCATGCTGACATCCCTCGTCGAAGAAAATGGGTCCTTTTTCCTAGATTACTTGTGGATGCTGGATGTCTGGTTTGTGAGGCACATGGACACCAGCAGCATGGGGTTCAATGCCCATACCAGCTGAGGTGCCCATCTTGTTCAACTTCTCCCCTCATCTGAGGCGTGATGACCCTCAGGTTAAACCACCACCAGTCACCTCTCTCTATCTCTCTCTCTCTCCCTCAGTAACATTTGCAACTTTTCAGTCCTCAGACACAGCCCCTATATCTGGGAAGGAAAGAGGTTTATGGCCAATGCCTTTGCATTTCCCACCCTTACTTGATGAAGGATGATGAATTATTTTATTGTCACATATATTTTACAGTGAGAAATACAATAAAATACAGTGAAAAACTTTCATTCATCACCACAATGTGGCACTATTTTGATAGTTTAAGAATAAGAGAAAAATGAAAAGATATAGCTTAAAGAGATGACCATCTCTTTTTGAATTTGACATTTGAGTTCTGACTTCTCTCTGTATTTTTGGATATATCTCAATCTGTCCTGATGACTTCCTAAAATAGAGCCTGGGTTTCTAATATTTTGTCATTAAAATATTTTAGCCCATCTACTGTCACAATTATTTCCTTTTCCTCTATGGTTGTATCATGTCTTCTCCTTGGTAAAGGGAATTCCAAAGTACTCATTTCATGCCTGTATCGTGACTTTTAGCCTCTATGTGTAAATACCCCTTTCTGGGCTCCAAATTGGCTGTGTGCCTCCTCTTACCAACCTTTCCCCATTTGTAGATGATTTTGGAATGCCCTCCTTAACTGCCAGTCTCTTTTCATATTTTGTTACTTGTTGTTCTGGTTTATTTTTTCACTACCTCTCTGAACATTCAAAATTCAGCCTCGTGCTCACTTGTATTTTCATTCTGAAAGACATCCGATGTAGCCATTTTCTGCTTCAATCTACTGTCCAACTCTTTCATCATCCAGGAGGCTCTGGCTAATTTGCTTGTTTTCCCTTTCTCCATGATGAGAATCTCTCTAATCTGTCTTGAACCATCTGATGTTTAAAGGCAGCCTAGCGTGGAATGACAGTTTTGCACACCTACCTGTCAATCTAGGGCATGTCTGCTCTCAACATATTGAAATTGACCCTTGTCTAATTAGTTATTTTCAATTTAAATTGCTCCTTGTCTTAGAACATAGATCTGTACAGCACTGGAACAGGCGCTTCAGCCCACGATGTTGAATCATAGAATCCTGTGCTGAACATCATGCCAAATTAACTAATCCATTCTGTGTGTCCTTGGTCCATATCCCTCCATTCCTTGCCTATTCATGTGCTCATCTAAAAGTCCCTTAATCATCACTATCGTATCTGCCTCCACCACCACCCCTGGTAGCTTGTTCCAGACTTCTACCACTCTCTGTGTAAAAACCTGCCCTCACATCTCCTTTGAACTTTTTTCCTCTCACCTGAAATGCATGCCCCCTAGTAATAGACTTTTCAACTTTGGGAAGAAAATTCTGACCGTCTAGTCTATCTATGCATCTCATAAATTTACATCCAAAGCCAACCTGAACGTTTCCCAAACAACAGTTGACTCAACTCATTCCCCTTGCTGGATCCTGCAAAGGCTCTTCCATCTTTTGGTTGAAAATGTACTCATCAAGAAATTCCTTCTGCACACATGAGAAAAACCTATCTCTTTTTCTTTCTTCTCTACACTATAATGATCCAAATTTATAATAGGATTATTCAACCTCCTTGTCAGTCAACCCTCTTTGTCTAGGGTACTTTGTAGTCCTGTCAATAAAACCCATCCATAAAACATTATTTTTGATCTGATTTATCCCACCAGCCCAAAATATCCCAGAAGCCTTCAGAATTGCATGTGATTATTCTTTGTAACTAATATTAGCAGGTTCAATGTCATTTCGTTGTGACATGTTCCATGACTTGGTTACTCCCCGTAAATAATTCCTTCACCCACATTCCTGGTATATGAACATCACTTATCTTAGTGATTATCAAAAGTCAATATGATTTTCTGACAATGATTTCAAATGGACTGTATAAGACACTTACCTCCAAATGAGTGTGATGTAACCAAACAGAATGGGAAGAGGCTTGTGGGGTGCACAATCACTGGTATGAACCTGTGCTGAAAAGACACCCTTGCCTCACTGAGTCACAAATTTCCCATGACAGGACCCAACCAGCAATATGCACTCCTTACCCTATCACAGCTCTCCACAGCCTTCAGGTACTTATTGAGTTTCAGATGGCACATGGCCACATTGAGATGTGCAGCTAAAATGAGGGCCTTGGCTCTTCGACTTTCATCCTGGGTCAGGCAGTATTCCTGCTCCAACCATGCCACAATCTTCCTGTATTGAATCTGAGCCTGCTTATATTTGCCAGCCTAGAGGGAGTGAGAAAAGTTCCAGCAAATGGAATATAGTTAGAACCATGAACACAAAATGAAGACTTATTGCATATCATTATCAGACCATAGGAGCTAGGAGAAAATGATCCACCCCTTATTCTGAAATGCTATCCCCTGGTTATAGATTCACCAACCAGGAGAAACATGCCATCCATATTCACCCAGCCATGCCTATAGGAAAAGATGCCCACAGTTTGCAGCTGGTTCTGCTAAGATCTCCTTTGGGTCAACGTGATGCCACTGATCGTTTTTGTTAGTATTAATCTAAGGACTTATAAATATCATATGGTGAAGGATGACCACATAAAGCCTTGGCAGAAGAAGCCCATTTTGGACTAACAAGAAAGATTTATTGCATAGTTATGAGGTACCAAGTTACAAAGGGGTATCTCCTAAGAGGTAACAAGGTGAATCTATTGTGTATGGTGATTAACAACAGAGATAATGCAAACTATCAGCAAAGGGGCCAACTACAACAGATACACTCAGATGGAGGAAAGCACAAACAGCAGGAGGAGTGTAAAAATACCCAAACATCCCACCCAACAGCCTCCTCAAACACCACTTGCCCCACCTGCGGACGGGTGTGCAGATGAAACATTGGACTTAGGACCAACAAGACTGAAGTGGAAGAGTGTCATCCTCAAACCAGAGGGACTATCAAACAAGGAGAAGAATTCTACTTGCCAAGTAAAACTGCAAAAGCCAACAATTAGAACTGAACTGATAACTCCTACCAGAGACAGTCATATATATTCCATGTTTGGAGTTTTACAACGCCTCAGACGTAACCATTTAGGGGCAACTGCCTTATACGATAAGGGATTTGTAAGTTTCAATGAGATCACCTTTTGTTCTTCAAAATTCTGGAGAATACGAGCTCAGTTTCTTCAATCTCTCTTCAAAAAACAACCTTGCCATTCAAGAGATTGATCTGGTGAAACTCCATTATATCACATCTACACAAATATCTCCTTCCACAGATAAAGAGATCAAAACTGTACACCACACTTCAATTGTGGTCTTGCCAGGAAACTGTACAAATGCAATGAGGCATCTTTGCTCCTATACTCAAATTCCCTTGAAATGTAGGCCAACATACCATTTGCCTTCCCAATTATTTCCTGGACCTGCATCTTAGCTTTCAGTGACACATAAACAAGCAGATGTTTGCCGATGATTGCACAATGTTCAGCACTGTTCACAACTCATCAGATACTGAGGCAGTTTGTGTCCAAATGTAGCAAGATCTGGATGGTATCCATGTTAGGGCTGACAAGTGGCAAGTAACATTTGTGGTGTACACCCAAGTGCCAGACGATAACTGTCCTCACAAAGACAGAAACTAACCATTGCTGTCTAACTTCAATGGTATGACTAGGCTGAATCCCTCAGTATCAACATCATGGGGGTTACCATTGAGCAGAGGTTTGCCGTACCAGCCTGCTTCAAGTGCAAGTCCTTGGTTAGAAATGCTGCAGTGAGTAACTCACCTCCTGAATCCCCAAAACCTGTTCACCATCTATAAGGCACAAATCAGGAGTGTGATGGAATACTTCCCACTTGCCTGGATGAATGCAGCTCCAACAACACTCAGGAAGCTTGACACCATTTGGAAAGCAGCTTGTTTGAATGTCACCACATTCACAAACGTTCACTCCCTCCACTACTGACTCTCAGTAGCAGCAGTGTGTATCATCTACGAGGTGCCCTGACAAAACTCACCAAGGCTCCTTTGACAGCACCTTCTAAACCCACAACCACTGCCATCTAGATGGACAAAGACAGCAGATACATGGGAACACCACCACCTGCAAGCTCCCCTCCATGCCACTCACCATCAAAAATATATCACCGTTCCTTCAGTGTCACTGTCACAATCCTGGAATTCTCTCCTCATGACATTGTGGATCTACCTACAATAGCTGGACTGTAGTGGTTCAAGAATGCAGCTCACCACCACCTTCTCAACTGCAGTTAGAGATGGGGAATAAATAATGGCCAGCCAGCAATGCCCACATCCCATGGATGAATTCAAAAGCAAGAAAACCTAGGTCCCTTTGGACATAGCTTCTCACAATTTAATGGGTACACTGTCTGTTTTTTTCTACTAAACCAGCATCTTGAGTCAGTACCAATTGATTAAGGGAATCAGAGAGGAGTTTTCCTGAGTTTTTGTTAACTTACAAATTGGCTCGGATTTTAGCTAGACTTTTTATCACATCCACGTCCCATGAATGAATATATATATAAAAAAATCTTGCTCACGGGATTTGTGCACTGAAATAAAAATGTCTTGCTGACATTACACAGAGCCTTCATGAGACCATATCCCATGTACTGTGTGCAGGTTAAGTCTTCTCACTTGAGGAATACTTTCCATTGAGGGTGTGCAACAGAAGTTCTCTAGACTAATTCTTGAGACAGTGGGATTGTCTTATGAGGAGAGAGTGAGGAAACTAGTCTGAGTTTGTAGATTTTTGAAGAATGAGAGATGATCTGATTGATACTTATAACATTCTTATAGAGATTGACAGGTTGGTTACAAATAGGATTAGACTTGACCTAGAGGACATATTCTCAGAATGAAGGGTAGGTTATTGAAGTCTGAGATGAGGAGGAATTTCTTCACTGCCAGACAGTGATGAATCTTTGAAATTCACAAGGTTGTGGAAGCTTAATCAATGAGCATGCTTAAGACAGAAATCGATGGAAAGTGGCATTGAGGTAGATATAAGTTAAATGAGTGATGGAGCAGACTCGACAGGCTGAATTCCCATTCCTAGATCAATCCCACATGATGCATTTGAGACTGTGTGTTGGTAGTCGAGACCTATTACCTGGATCTATCAATGCCAATTGTAACTGGTCACCCAAGGCTGAGTGAAAGTTGCAAGAGGAGACTGGCCTCGCATGGTGGCCTATTAGGGAGTTAGCTCAACTTTATTTGGCTTCTCTCCATAGCAACACACTTGAAACCTTGAGCCATTTTTAAGACAATAATGGGCAATGTTTCCAATTGTTTACCTCATGGGATCATTCAATTCGATGCAACACTGTCCATCGCTGTTCTGTTGGAGAAATGAGCCTAAGAAATTGGCACCTTTGATTGATAGTGAGGGTTGATAACATCAAATAAACTCAACAATTAAACAGAGATTTTATACAGTGAAGTCAGCTCATGCATAGCACTGCATCAGTTCTGTTGAAGGCAGAGTTTTCTACACAAGTACCTTAAAATAGAGTGTTCCTTTCTCCTTGACAAGAACTGCCCGTTCCAGTTTCTCTTGAGTGTTCATTTCCCAGGATTCTTTGGCCTGTTTCATAAACAAACCAACAAATTAGGCCTGTTTGCTCCAGAATTTAGAAGGTTAAGGAGTATTTTGATTGGTGTCTCCAAGATATTAACAGGAATAAGCAGGGTAAATAAAGATACACTATTTCCACACGTTGGGGGTTCTAGAGCTAGGGGGCATAGTCTGAGAATTAGGGAGAGAATTGGACCATTTAGGAGAGAAGTCAGGAAGCACTTATGCACTAAAAGGGTGGAGGATATTTGGAACTCTCTTCCACAAATGGGAGTGGATGCTGGATCTATTGTGAATTTTAAACCTGAGATAGATAATATTTTATTAAGCAAAGGTATTATGAGATATGGACCAAAAAGTTAGTCTACAGATCAGCCATGATCTCACTGAATGGTGAACAGGCTTGAGGAGCTGAATGGTCTATTCCTGTTCCTATCGTCAGCGTAGCTCACTTCGGCCTTCACAAAATACACACACGCACTGGTTTTTAAAATTCTTTCATGGATTGTGGCTGTGACTGGCTTGGCCAGCACTTATTTCTCATCTGTAGTTGCCCCTGAGAGGGTGGTGGTGAGCTGCCTTCTTGAACTGCCACATTTCTTGGGATGTGGGTAGACCCACAATGCAGTTAGGGAGGGAGTTCCAGGATTTTGACTCAGCGACACTGAAGGAACGGTGAGATATTTCCAATTCAGGGTGGCATGTGGCTTGGAAAGCAATTTGCAGGGGTTGGCATTCCCAAGTATCTCTGCCCTTGTCTAGATGGTCAAGGTTGCTTTTGGAGAAGCCTTGATGGGTTGCTACTGGTTATCGTGTAGATGCTCTGGTTTCTACACTGAGCAACATGCCTCGTTCTCCTTACAAACACTGGGGAGGCTACAAGAAATATAACATTAATCATAAGATCAATGGCTGGGGCCTGGGCAAAACAGTCTTTGTGAGCGACAGTCCTGCGATGCCAGAGAAATGTTCCAATTCTGTGGAAGCAGAGAGAAAGAAGTGGCACAGAACCAACTTGGGGTGTGATGATCAGAAGTAAACAACAGTGCAGGATTGTAATGATATGGGGCTGCTTCCAAGCTTTAAGTATGCAAGGCTGGTATTGTTGCAATTATGTTGAAAACCACATGTACATACTGTGATCAAAAGGTTAATGGAATGTTGGCGTTTAGCTCAAAGGAATTGGAATGTAAAAGGCAAGAAGTTATGCTCCAGTTGTGCACAGCCTCTGATCAGACATGACGAGAGGAACTGCTAACTCAGGCAAGCTGTACTGCCCTTGGAAGGGATACAACACAGTCTCATCTGAACTCCATCAGGGCTTAATGATGTTAAAATTAAAGTTAACCTGAAGTGAAATCAGGAAGTTCTTTTATTCACACAAAAGATAGTTGTGAAATCTGGAACTCTGCTTGAAATAGTAGCAAATATGCTGGAGAACAACTACTACTTCATTGAAAACAGAAAATAGGAGTGGGAGTAGACCATTCGGCCCATCGAGCATGTTCTGCCATTCATTATAATCAATGCTGATCAATTTCCAGTTGTGAGATAGAGAGGTTTTAGTTAGAAAAAAGATGTGGATCAAAGGCAGGGAAATAGAGGTACTGAACAATCATGATCTAACTAAATGATGGAATAGATTCAAAGGGCTGAGTAGCCTCCTCCTATTCCAAAGTTCTTGGAAATGAACAAAAATGCACACATTGCACTGGATGGATTCCAACAACTTGCACCTTATATTTTTACAGCAGTATTGTCAGGATCCTGTGAAGTGGTTGGAGCACTCACCTTTTCAAAGTTCTTCAGCAATATTTCATAGTCCAGCTCTGCATTTGGTGGAACATTTAGGTGAGGCTTCCCAAGATCGCCAAAACCATATCTACAGTAAATGATTTAAATCTTTTAATTAAATTCCTGAAGAATGAAACAAAATACATAATGACATTAACTCCTTCCCATCAGCTCCCCGTTCCTTGTTCAGATACCCATGAGTATTGGGTACTCTCTAAATCTTCTTCTTTATCATTTTGCTGGATTCTTGTTCTGGCTGCTCTCTCACCAGCAACAAGACGTGAAGTCCTGTCAGTAAATAGCCAGGGCTGGGGGAGGGTGTTCGAAAGGACGGGTGTGCAGAAGATATTGAGTCCTCAACATCTCGAGCGTTCTAATATGTGTGGTCCCAGAACCACACGCAAATGATTCATTGCAGCTGCTGGAACTTGGGCACATCAGAACAGCCATGAAAGAGTTCAGAATGTTCCAGGCTCAGTTATCTGACAGGGAAGGACAAAAGAAATAATCTAATAAAGGAAAATGCTTTGGAGACATGGGGTGTGTGTGGGAGACCTTTGGAATTAAATGTTCTCCTGGGGGCCAGTTACAAAGTTCTTCACAGATGGGGAAGGCTAAAACAATAATCAGACACAAGGAACTAGTTTATTCACCTTTAGGTCCCATATTCATGGATGAAGTTAGGCTGGATTTATTCTGTGAAATATCCTATGGCAGGAATTCATACTTAGGATATGTCAGCTGTCCCACTCTAAAAACATCAGGGCAACACTTATACAGAATGTTAGAGTGCATTGACAAATTGGCCAAGTTAGTAGATCTTCAACCTGTGAGTTGTCCTCCTCTATTCACATCAGTAAGACTGTCCTTCCTTGCTTTCTCTCTTACTAAACCAGTTCTATTCCATGTGCTGTTAACTCTCGATTCCATCAGGAATCTAACCATGGTCTCCTTTTACTTTCCATTTACATTCTGGTCTTCAGAAATTGACTTCCATCGTTCAAAGGTAAAATGTCAGGTTCCACATAGACAGGACTGTAGTAACTATAACCAGGTCAGCCAGCTGGCTTTCATAGAATAAGAGTTCCCTGATTGGGGCTATTAACTTGGTCCAATCAGGGAGCTTTTCCTGACAGATAAAAAGACTAAGTGTCAGAGACACTCTGGTACCTGACTTTGAATGAGGCCATACTAAAGGCAAGGGCTCCGCACGTGTAAATAAAGGGTGACTTGGTGATGGGGTACCAGCCTCTGTGTGGAGTTATGTCAAGAACACTCAGCTCTACCCTATTACCACTGAGCGGAACCACATAAGGGCCACAGCAATGTGGGCTATGATGAATTCTGAGCCAGAATTGATGTAAAATACAATGACGCTCATCTGAATGTCAGGAACAAAATCTTTTATGATTTTGCCAAGTGGTGAGGTGAGTTTCCTGCCAGTGACTTGCTAATTATATAACTGCAATTCAGTTTCATATCCTACCAAATCAGCCGATCAAGCTAGATGTTGAGATGTTTCTACATGGACTTTAGAGCAGGTACCTGGCAGGATCAGCTCACTGCTGGCTGTGACCAACCTTCATGTTGTTCAGGAATTATTAATAGGCACCAGCCGCATGTACCACTCATCTACTGACATTGGCATATGATACTTGCCAACCTCTTTTGATCATCATGGCACTTCTCAGATGCACTTGCAGCCCCTCAGAAAGCGCAGACCTGCATTGCAGGACACACCAGCAACTAGCATTAGGGACACTGTGCACAGGGACAGGCACCCAGTTTTCAGTTTGGATCGGGCTGCCACTTAGGATTCCTCATTTGCTTAGTCTGGGGTGGGGTGGGTGTCTTTATAAATGGCTGTGTGCTACATCAACCTCACACTTGCTCCATGTGCCAGCAGCTTCTGCAGTAAACACACAGCGTGGGCAGCAAGCAGGTAATCACGTCTCAAAGTCTTTAGGGGAGACAACCCCACTGAAGTCCATGGAGACATCTATCAGTCAGGGGGTCCCTGCACTGTAAGTCAAGGGAACACTCTGATGCCAATCCAAGGCCTTGGTCATAGTCAGTGTCCACTCGGGGCATTCGTGGCCAGGAGTTCCGTGCCACAGCAGCCCGGGGAGTGGGTCAGTCAGTCCTGTGACTCCATAGCAGTCAGTCTGGGGGATAAGGCTAATGGAGTCGGGGATTGTATAACAGCCAGTTAGGGGTCTGGGCACTTCTCACCCATGGCTGCCTGGTTGGCTCCCTCTAGGGGTGAGCCTTGGTCAGTACATTGGGTCTGTCTACAGAGATGAAGAGGAAAAGGGTTGGGGTGGGGGTGCACGGTCAAGGTGGACCACTGCCCTGGATGCAAACTCTGGAACATATTCTATGGGATTGAAGATAGGTAAGAGAGGGTGGTGCAACAGCATTTGTAAGTGTGGGATACAATACAGCATGGATGGGAATAGGGTCATGTGGGAAGGGGGTCGATCCAAGGTTCAGAGCTCCCTGCCTTCAAATGGGACCACAGCTGGCATAGTCACCTTGTACTCCAGGGGCTGGAGGGCAAAAGAGGCTCACAGGAAGGGTCACCAGGATGCAGATCTGGGTGTTTGGGCATCCCGTACATGGTGATGAGTGACAATGACCCTCAGTTCATGAAGGGACTTTCAGATGCTTCATAAAGAATTCAGGAATTCAACATCACCTGCCGTCTCCACCCAATCAAATAGAAAGGCTCAGGTAGCAATGAAAAATCACCAGAAAATCATTAAAAAGTCTAACAAATCCAGTCCTGATGTGTACAAGGCAATCCTTGAGTGTGAAACACACCTACTGAATGCATCGAACGTAGTCAAGTATAAAGCCTAATGTCACAGCACTCCCAAATGACTTTTCCGATCCTGAAAAAGCTACTGAAGCCAGAAGTAGTAACAGGACGAAATCACGGTGAAACTGCAAAAAGCTAACTTTCATTTTGACAAGACTGTCAAACACATTGCCAGAGTGGAGCATTTGAGAGCCACTCAAGGTACAAGCATTCAATGTTCTCACAGCCTAATGACAACTTGGGATCTGCATGGACTAGTTGTCACCTCAAATATATGTGCTGCAAGTGAGTGATCAAATTTACTGTTGCGACCGCAGGAACACGAACGCAACAGAAGAAGCTGTTCCTCAGCTGTAAGCCACAGATCAAAAATGTGTAAAATCACCACATGCACCAACCTTCAGCCCCAGATGTCCACAGCAACCCAACAATGGAAAAGGAACAACAGATAACACAGCAACCACAAATTACAGAGGAATTACACATTCCAGGGAAGGACCATCACCCAATTGAACTGCCTATGGCAACATATATACATGCCATTAATAGATCAGCATTATTTAAAAGCTATGTATGCAATGTATATGCAGAGACCGACAAGACATAAGAACACCTAATGCATGAGGAACTGTTGTGTTTTTATTGTGTAGCTTAGTTAACTAAAAATGTGCATGGTAAATCTGCAGCATTTCTTTTGTTTTGTTTTGTATATAAACGGTGACGTTTGGATTGAAATGCAATCATGTTCAAATTTCCTTCCTGGCAGATTATAATGGTTTGAACTCCACCACGAGGTTCACACACTGCAGGCAGCCATCTTGCACACATTTTAGTCCACACTGACTAGACTGCTGTCTATTAAGCTCAGAACAGTCTTTGTGCTGTTAGACTGCTTCTCTGACTTCTTTCTGAGGATGAGCCACAAACTGCTTCCAGTGCTATATTGAGAAAACCTTTTTAGCCCTCACTGCAAACTCCATTCCTGAAGTTTTGATTCCATTTCCTTCCTGATGACAGAAACTTTTATAATTCACATTCAGCTGAGCTATCAGTTCTATATCTGCCCCATCAGCAAAATGAGGACTTCCAACTTCCACCTCCATAAAAATTCCTGCCTCACTCCATCTACTGTTGGAATGCTCATCTCTGCCTATGATACCTTCAGATTTGACCAATCCAAAACTTACCTCGCCATTTTCAAATCTTCCACCCATCACTCCCCCTTCAAACCTGAGGCCATTCAAAACTTGCAGCCTGTATCCTAACTCTACAGTAGGTCCTATTTAAGCATCACCCTGTCATCATTGAGCTACTTTGGCTCCCAGACCACTGATGCTACGTCTTAAAACTCTCATGTTCAAACTCTCCCTATCTCTGTAACCATCTCCCACCCTAAGCCTCCAGGAGCTCTGTGTTCCTCCAGTTGTTGTGGAGTAAAGGGTTAATTATACTTTTGCACATAGCTACTCAACACATGCATAAGGAGTTATGTCAAAGTAATGTCAGATCACATGGAACTGGAAACTGAGTTTTCAGGGTTCCAGAAGATGCCCCCTTGTAACATTCCTTATTATCCTAAATAAAACCTGCTAATGTTCACCCATCTGAGTAAACGTTTGATCTTACTACAACTGTAGACTTTTGCACCTTCTCCTACCACATCATCTTGGTGACCAGACTGAGTTATACAGTCTAATGAGAGTTAATGATTCAATGGGGTAAGCTTTAGCGCATGTATAAATCAAGAAATTAATGGAGTTAAAATTGTGAACCTGTGAATCAATAATCTCTCCACTTTCTATTCAAATTCCTTCACGGTCTCACCCTTCCTTATCCCTGTGACTTCCACCACCCTTACAACCCATTGAGAACACTGTGCCTCTTTAATTCTGGCATTTCATACAATCCCCACTCATTAATCCCACCACTGGCAGCTGTCACTTCAACTGTCTGGACCCAAACTCTTCAAATCCCTTCCTAGCCATTTTGGCCTCTCCTCTTTTTCAAGACACTGTTTAAGACATCCCTATGAACGAGATTTCAAACTTAACACCTTCCCTTGCTCAGTGCCAACACTTGTCTTATTAAATCCTTGTGAAACATCTTGGGACATTTTATGATATGAAGGGCATATATAAGTGCAAGACATTGCTATTGAGAGCATAACTCAGCTAGTCTCACTTTTCACTTGGGTCAGAACAATCATTTCAGGACTAGGAGTTTGGGAATTAGATTGACTCTATAGTACAGAGCTCTGCATTGTTAAGTAACTGGCATCCATTGGAGAGAATATAAGATGTCCTGGCTAACATTTCTCCCTCATTAAAAAACAAGATTGTCCTTTCTAATTGTGACTATGGGAATTCGCTAGTGAAAATAGCTGCCACACTTGAACTACATAATTTTTTTTATTCAGTCATCAGATAAAGTTGATACTCATTCCTAATGATCTTGAAAGCATGGTGATGAGCTGCTTTCTTGAACCACTACAGCCTTTGTTATGTAGCTACTCCCACAATGCCATCAGAGAGAGAATTCCAGGATTTTAACCCAGCAACACTGAAGGAATGACAATCTATTTTTAAGTCAGAATGGTGAGTAGTTTGGAGGGGAACCTGCAGGTGGTGGCGTTCTTACGTATCTGTTGCCCTTGTCCTTCTAAGGTGGAAATGGTCATGGGCTTGGAAGGTGCTGTTGAAAGAACTTCGATGAATTTCTGCAGTATATCTAGTATATAGTACGCACTACTGCTACTGAGCATTGGTGGTGGAGGGATTGAATGTTGAAGGTGACAAATATGGTGCCAATCAAGTCAGCTGCTTTGCCCTGGATGGTGTCAAGCATCTTTAGCGTTTTTGGAGCTGTAATTATCCAGGGAAGTGGGGAGTATTCCATCACACTCCTGACTTGTGCCTCGTAGATGGTGGAGAGGCTTTGAGGAGACAGGAGGTGAGTTACTCACTGCAGGATTTCCAGCCTCTGACCTACTGTTGTAGCCACAATATTTATTTGGCGCGGTTATGACCTGTTACATAAATGCCAGTCTGTCTTCCTCCTTGCTTGGTCATGGGGCATAATGTAAAACCATCTCAAGATTGTCCCTCCATCTTCTAGAACAGGGAACATAGAAAGATTGAAACATTGTCCTGCAGCCACCGACATGGTAGCGTTACACTTACTCAGGCATCAGATGAAGAATGCAGTGCTCTCCTCTCCGCATTTTCTCCAAAGCTTTGTCAACTCCAATGGGAATGTCTTGGTCTTCTCCTTCGCCAACCACAAACGTAACATCCCGTTGATCAAACAATACAGCATTGGTCCGACCCTCTAGATAAACTGTAAAGAAGAAACGATTGCAAATATAAATTTGCAGGTGCTCCTTCCAATCAATCCTTTACAAAGACTCTTTGCATTCCAAACCATGTGGAGTATCCAACACTGTTATTAAAATTCACAGGGTATTTAATAGGTTTGATCACTGCTCCAGTTTTTTGGTTAAGAGTTGAACATTGAAAGTGACTGGAAAATAGAAATTGAATAGAGATTGCTGCAAGAGTATCTGTTCCCTGAGGTTGTTGACTTGCTCACCGAGCTGGCTTGTTCTCGTTCAGACGTTCCATCACCATGCTAGGTGACCTCATCAGTGAGGCCTCGAATGGTGACAAAACATCTGAACAAAAACAAGCGAGCAAGTAAACAACCTCACCCACAACCTGAGCTACAGATCTTTGCAAAAACCTTAATTATCTGCTCCTTTATAGTGCGCTAACCCTCTACACCATTTTGGGGCTGAGATGAGGAGTTGCTCCCAGTCTCCACAAAATCTGAACTTAGTTCCAGGCTTCGAGCTGGCCTCAGGTCTTCATGAACTCTAACGCAATTTCCATGGAGATCCAACAGTATGACACCCAAAGCCCAATTTTGGATAATGGGATTACTGACTTTTATTTGGTGTTGAATTTGATGTTTGCCACCAGGGTGAGGAAGTGGATGGAAAGTGGGTGGTCCACCCATCCACACCCCGATTGTCTCAGATCATCAAGTGTTGGAAGGTCAATCCATTCAATGGTAAGGCAGCCAATTAGTGTTGAAATCGGGGCCTCTGCTCCCATCAGGCTGCTAGGCAGAGTCCTTGTGTGGCAGGGCCTTATGCCTAATGTAGGATCAGTCAATCACAGCTACACATTTAAAGACCTTCCTCTACCTGAATTTCATGGACTCATAGGTCTGAATTTTACATTTTTTTGTGTTATCTTTCTTAGAGGGATTCTCACCAGGAAGCCCAGTGAGATTTCTCATTGTGTCTTACCAACTGCACCTCATTAACAATCTACAACACTTCCAAGGTGTCCCTCTCATCCAACTTTAGACTAATCTTGCCATGCACTGTTCCCAGAGTGACCTCCCACTCACTGGATATCTGCTGCAAGACCAGCATCCCTTGTGCTCAATGCTCACTGGTCACTGTATCTGGTGATTGTCCCCTAAGGGAACATCACATACAGAAAGTTCTCCTTGAGAATGGCAGAATCAAACACAAAGGAAATGAATACAGTCTGCAGTTCACACCCACTATTCAAATCAAATACTGGAGACTTGACTGTGACAGTCTACAACGGTCTTCTGCACCCAGCTCCCAACAACTGGAACTGAGTGTCAGTCAGGTCTTGTCTGTCTTGTAGTGCCCAATACAGCCAAGCTCTGTCATCCACGTGGGGAGCTTTCTCCAGCTCAGGGTGCTCATCCTTCTTCTTGAACAACTTCTCCTATTCCCCAAGTTCCTCAGAATCAATCAAATCACCTCATTGCTTGATCCAATTGTGCAGAGCACAGTACACCAGGATGATGGGGTAGACTCTGTCCAGACTATACTGAGGACACTCCCTCCCCCCTCCCAGACTGCTCCAACCTGCAGCACCATCATCTGTCCCCATTGTCTATGCCCCTATCCCCACATGGCCCTGGTCACAATCTGTGCCCCAACCTGGTGAGGAGCTGCCACCTGGGTTGAGTGACCAGCACATCACACCCTAAAGGGAATGCCTGCTCCACTCCGACCCCTTTCCCATTCAGATCCACACCAACTATTCCACTTCCCATTGCAATCACTAGGATCCATCAAGCAATGTTCCCCTCAGGAGTTTCCCAAGTGCAGCTCATTGACAGACAAGACACAAGTTTCTGGCTGCTGCTTCTGCTGGAGGCATCCTGGTAAATCTCCTCCACACCCTCTCTGCTGTAATCACACACTTCCTACAATGTGATGAGCAGAATCATACGTCATACTGCAGTTGTGGCATAAACAGCATTTTATATAGTTCCATGTCTAACTTGCTTGCTCTTGTATTCTATGCTAATCCTATACTAATTATACTTGGCTAATAAAGGCCAGTATTCTTTTTTAACCACCTTAGCTACCTGTTCTGCCACCTTCAGTGATCTGTGGATACACACACTGAGGTTTCCCTAGTGTTCAGTACTTTTTAGGGTCCCACCATTCATTGTGTAATCCCTTGACTTGTTAACCCTCCCCAAGTGCATTACCCCACATTTTTCAAGGTTGAATTCCATTTGCTACTGCTCTGCCCAGCTGTCCAGCTCATCGATATCCTCCAGCTGTTTACAGCTATCCTTCTCACTGTTCACCATCCTATCCCGTCTCTCAGAATTCTTTCTAATAACTACCCCACCACTTAGATTAGACTGCATGACTACAATTTCCTGGTCTATCATTTCCTTCCTTGCTTAATATTAGGAACATGTTATCAATCCTCCAATCATCTGAAAATTACTGCCAGGATTTGAAAATTATTGCCAGGAATTTTGATCTCTCCTCTCTTGCCTTCTTCTATAGACTGGGATACATCTCATCGGACTTGTTGGTTTATCCATTTCTAAGGCCGCTAAACCTGCTATTACCTACTGTCTCTCTCCGTTCGTTTCTTCCAGCAATTGACAGTCCTCCACCCTGATGTGTGTATCTGCATCACCCTTTGTCATTGTGAAGATTAATGCAATATATACATCGAAGACTATGTCCACATCTTCTGGGTTCACACAAATATTATCTGAAGTCCCTCATGGGCACTACTCTTGCCCTTTTTATTCTCTTGCTCCATATATATATTTTCAAGAAAACCTTTGTGTTTTCCTTTATTCCACTCACCAATGACACTGTCTTAGTTTTCCATATTTCCTTTCTATGTTCCCTCCTACATTTTTTATTCTCCTCTCAGGATTCTGGTGTATTGAGCCATCAGCATCTTCTGTAAGCTTCTCCTTTATCCTTAATTCTAACCTTATGTTCTTTGATATCCAAGATTCTCCATACTTGGTCCCATTGTTTGTCTTTACAGGAACACGTTTGCCCTCTACTCTCACTATTTCCACCTTGAATACCTCCCACAGCTTTGAGAGTTTTATGTGCAAGTAACTGCTTCCAATCCACTTTGATTAAATTGTATCTTCCGTATTGTTCTGTCTAAGCTGTTCTGAGGTTCTGCAGATGCCAATTGGCATGCCAATGCATTGACTTCCAGTTTTGGATGCAGATCTGAAATGCCACACACAGATCTCAGAGGTCGACACATTGAAAAGAAAAGTAGATGGGGCATTGATCTTACGTTGGTAAAATTAGCCTGTTCCCACTTAGGACTTGGAGTAGGGATGCCATATTGAGGTTGTGCAGGACATTGGTGAGGACTCTTCTAGAGTGCTGTGCACAGTTCTGGTCGCCCTGCTACAGGAAGGATATTATTAAATTGGAGAGGGTGCAGAAAAGATTTACGAGGATGTTGCCAGAACTGGAGGGTTCGAGTTATACAGAGAGACTAGATAGGCTGGGCCTTTTTCACAGGAGCATAGGAAGTTGAGGGTTGAGCATAAAGAGGTTTATAAAATCATGAGGGGCATAGGTAAGGTGAATAGCAAATGCCTTTTCCCTAGGGTAGGGGAGTACAAAACTAGAGGGCATAATTTTAACGTGAGAGGGGAAAGATTTAAAAGGGGCCTGAGAGGCAACTTTTGCACACAGAGGGTGGTTCATATGTGGAATGAACTGCCTGAGGAAGTGGTAGATGCAGGTGCAGTTACAACATTTAAAAGACATTTGGATAAGCACATGAATAGGAAAGGTTTAGAGGGATATGGGCCAAATGCAGGCAAAGGAACTAGTTTAGTTTGGAAACATGATTGGCGTGGATGGGTTGGCCCAAAGGGTCTGTTTCTGTGCTGAATGACTCTATGACTCAATGATTCTTGGTAAATCTAACTGAGTTATAGTCACTGTCTCCAAAATACTCTCCAATGGACAGGTCTTCCACCCGCTGGGCTTATTTTTGAATATTAGGCCCAGAAATGCTTCTTTTGTCTTCATTGCTGAGGGAAGGCTCAGAAAAGTGAATAAATGAATTCAATATTCATACATTCTTCCCCAGCAGAATCTATGTCTCCATGCAGCCTTGGTCCCAATGATAGGCCTTAATTTCGTCCCTTATGCTACTCATGATTCCTGCTGTTGAGCATTCTCTGCGCTTTCTTGCAATGGCCAAACCGAAATTCACATTGAGGTGCTCTCTAACAAGCTGAAAAGCTTTTTAATCAATGATTTTAAAATGGCTGTCCAAGGTTCTTGAGTAGATTTGTAGCTCGGGTTGTGGACGCTGTGGTTGATTCGCTCACCAAGCTGGTTCGTTAGTTTGCAATGGAGTTGCATAAAACCACTACTTAAACGAGTGACAACACACTGCAGCAACCCGAAACTACATCAAAACAGAGAATAATACCTATACCAAGTATTTGAGGACAACGGTTACCCAAACAGCTGGGTCCGTCGATGCCTACTACACAAACACCAACAGGAAGATACAGTACGCCCTGACACACTCGTCACGTTACCACACATCAAGGACATATCCGAACTGACCACAAGACTCCTACGACTGTTGGGCATCAGAGTGGCACACAAACCTACGTCAACCCTACGCCAACTGCTAACTCGAACCAAAGACCCCTTACCCACTATGGACAGAACCAACGTGATATACAATATTTCATGCAAAGCCTACAACAAACATTATATTGGACAGACCGGAAGGAAACTGGCCACAAGAATACATGAACACCAACTAGCAACAAAAAGACACGACCAATATTCACTCGTCTCCATTCACACAGATAAGGAGAACCACCAGTTTGATTGGGACAACATCATGATCCTAGGACAGAGACAAGCACGGGAATTTCTAGAGACTTGGTTCTCCACCAAGAAGGCCATCAATAAACACGTAGAGTTAGACCCTATATATACACCACTGCGAAGAAAAACCGGAAATGAG